TGCCATGGCCGTTTGCCCATTTTCGCGTTCTTCCGGCAACGTGCATAGCAAGGTTAAGGAGGACCAAGAGGCCTGTCAGGGAAGAGGCCGGCAGGGGAGTGGCCAGGAAGGGGAGCGCAGGCCAGGAAGGGAGGGGGGGCCAGGGCGGGCCAGGGTGGGCCTGCCTGAGGGGGTCAGGTCGGGGGGGGGCCAGGGGGGGAAGGGCCTTGCAAAGACAGAACAAGCCCAAGAATCGCGAATTTGGGCAGGTCCCCCGGCAGGACCGGCCCGGAGCCCCCTAGACCCCTGAAATGTGCTCGCTGGAGGCTCCGGCGGGGCCCCCTGGCTGGGGGCCTAGAAAAAAAGGAAAGAGCGAATTTTCTGCAGAAATATGGGCCACCCAGGTGGCCCAATGGCAGGGCTCAGCACAGGGGCTGAATTTGACCACTCTCCAATGGCTCCACCCACTGTCCATCCCAAGAAATGGTGTCAATCTCTGCCAGGTATCTTCTGGGTCCAGGCACCCTAGAAAAAGGGTGGGTACGGCCGCAGCAGGCCGGGTGCGAATTTAGGGTTTAGGGTTTAGGGTTCATCGATAGCAAATCTTACGGCAATTTGTTCTCCTTCGCCCCGGCAACGGACCCTAGCGCGGGAACTCTCATGATCTGGAAGATCATTCTGAATGACCCTAAACCCCTAAACCCTCAACCCTAAACCCTCAAGGACTCAAGGTCATTCTGAATGCCTGGTCTTTTGAACGGAGTTCATTCGCGGCCCTGGCACATTCAAGCCTCGTTTACCTTTCCACAACTCTTGAATGTCAGCAGCTGGGAAGAGTTTCCATTCCTCGAATTCCACATCAAAATCTACTATGGTCGTTAATACTTGGGGGTACCATGGTCGTTGATACTTGGGGGTTCATGGGTAGTTGTACATGGGGTCATAAGTAGGGTAGCTATACTTATAACCCATATTAGGGGACTTATAGCCCCAGCTAGAACTACCAATGAACCCTAAACCCTATAGAACCCTTTAAAGGAACCCTTAAAGGCACCCCATAAACCCACCTTATAACTACCCATGAACCTCCAAGTACAATTCTACACCCTACATCCTTTGTTTCCCACCGCAACGCCAAACGTGCTTTTGCTGCGGCTTTGCAGTTCAGGGCTTGGGATGAGCCCAGAGAACCCAATACTCCTTTGTTAAGGCACATACCTGAAATTATAGGGGCCCTAATAATATGATTTAAGGTATCTTCCTTAGTTAAGGGGTATTGGGTTCTCTGGGAGCCTGACGATGGCCCTTTGGGCTTTTACGGCCAGGGAACAGCGCCTCCGCGGTGGCCACGCGCGAAGCCCCAAATCCAGGAGACCACGAGCCCTTAAGCTGCTGCCTAAACCCTAAATCCTAAACCCTAAACCCCTAACCCCTATCCCTAAACCCTAAAGCCTAAACCCCTAACCCCTACACCTAAACCCCAAAGCCCAAACCCTAAACTCTACATCCTAGGATGTGATTTCCTACAATGCGGCCATGAGTGCCTGCGAGAAGGCCGAGGAAGTCGGGTCGCTTGGCTTCCTGCGCTTCGGGTTCAGGCTTGTCGCTCCAAACCCAATCCCAGAGACTATAAGATTTCTTAATTAAGGAATATACTTTAACTCATATTAGAGATTCTACTATGAATTGAGGTATATTCCTTAATTAAAGGATATTGGAGTCTCTGGGATCTCGATCTGTAGCAAAGCCTTAAAGCCCAGCACACGAGTTCAACTCGAAACATCAACCGTGACGACCTGTGTTTCGGGTTTTTTTTGTCCACGCACATGAAAAGCCAAAGGTGCTATACCCAAGAGCAGAAGCGCTTCACTAATGCAGGGGCCTTAATAAGTAGAATAGGGTTTTGGGGGGCTCTTTTTTTTGGGACCCCTATATTAGGCGCAAAGCCCAGAACTTTCAACCCGGAAACCCTGATCCGTGGACCCTCGCTGCACATCTTTCCTAGCAGACTTTTCCCAGGGTGACTACTGTAAAGGCCTTGATAATTCCTATAATATTTTTGCAATTTTGGGGGTTCCTTACTATAGTTGTAGTATAATGGGCCCCAAAACCCTCTTCTAATTATTAAGGCCCCTACATTAGGATAGCCAACCCTAAACCCCAAACCCTAAACCCTAAACCCTAAACCCTGAACCCTAAACCCTAAACCCTGAACCCTAAACCCTAAACCCTAAACGCAAGACCATAGGCCAGCCCTGGATCTCTTCGCTGAGCTTTGCAGCATCCAATTGCAGCCGACGTTGGCCCCTTGGCGGAGTGGAGCTGACGTTGAGGGTTTACCTTATAAGAACCCAAAACCTACTTTTTTGTAGGGTCCCTATAAATCCCATATTAGGTTTTATAATAAGAACCTGCGAAAAAGCGGGTTTTGGGGTTCTCAAGGTAGGGTTTAGGGAAGAGTTCTCGTAGGTGCCAGAAGGTTGTTGTAGAGTTAACCACCTAGCAGTTGAAGTTTACAGACGAACCGATGCTTCGGATTCTTCTTCCTGTCCGAGCTCAGGTCATCCGTTTCTGGATGCGGCGAGCGTGTGTTGGGGTTGCTTGGTGGTCTACGGGACTGTGGGTACTGGGAGATGAAGACTGCGCTCGTGTCGTCCCTATGGCCCTATGATTTATACTGTAGCATGCCCCCAAGCCCTACTCAGTTCAGGCTCTTCTGTTCCCCAAACCCTAAACCCTAAACCCTAAACCCTAAACCCTAAACCCAGAGGTCTTCTTGCAGGCTCAAGGCCCCTAAACCCCAAACCCTAAGCCCTAAACCCTGAACCCTAAAGGCTAAGAAGGCGGTGAGTCCGGGCTCCGAGTAGTCCAGGGTTGTATAGGGACTTAGCTTTCTACCGAAGCTGCTGTTGCCGAAGTGCTAGCCCCCCCTAAAACCCCAAACTGCGCCTATATGGTTCTAAATTTAGTAGGGGCTGTAAAGAAATTTCATTCTAAATTCGATAGGGGCTGTAAGGAAATGGCTTTATGACTTGCTTAGGCCCACGGTGTCGCAACAAAGCTGCCGTAAGGTCAGCTTTTCCGCTGCAGCCTCGGCGTGTGAGAAGGTGGCCGGCTGGGCGCAGGTGCCCGTGGCCTAAACCCTAAACCCTAAGCCCTAAGCCCTAAACCCTAAACCCTAAACCCTAAACCCTAAACCGTGGGCCTTTCTGGGCTTTCGGACCCTTGTTTGAGGTTTAGGGGTTCGGGTTTGGGGTTTCGGGTTTAGGGTTCAGCAGGGTTGGGGTTTCGGGTTAAGGGCTTCGGGTTTCAGGGTCTGTTGGGGTAGGGTTTAGGGGTTTAGGGTTTAGGGTTTAGGGTTTAGGGCTTAGGGTTTTTTTTAAAGGGGGTCTGTGTTGGAAATCTCACACGGCTTGGCGAAAGCCCTTCGTGCAGGGCCGTAGATGCGCTAGTCAGACGGCTGCAGTGCCCGAAGAGGCCCTGTAGAAGTTACGGTTTAGGGTTTTAGGGTTTAGGGTTTAGGGTTTAGGGTTTAGGGTTTAGGGTTTAGGGTTTAGGGTGTATTTTGCATGTATTGCTTGTGGGCACAAGGGTCACGGTCATGGCCAGCTGTGAAACCCTGTAGTTGTCTTAGAGCCTATACTTCGCCTTGACTCCATTCCACCCTGGATCTTAAACGCTTAAGCGCGGCCAACCCTAATTTGTGTAACCCGGACCGGGCCTCCCAAAGCCTGAGCTTGAAGGCACGAATCGAAAGCCAAAGCCCTAGCAATGACAGGGTTGACTTAGTTCTCCAATACACAACCTGTAAACTTTTTGGGTTCTTATAATTTAGTAGTAGTCTGAAAGTTTAACCTTTTATTTCCCGGGCTTATTGGGGAAGCAAGTTTAAGCTGTCGGAAGACAAAATCGAATGACCCACCAACCGACGGGAAAGGGCAGAGGCGAGTGCTCGGTTCGAGAGCCTTGTCAACAAACGCGAAGCAGGATGCGCCTTACTTCTTTGCTACTTTTAGGGGCTTTCAAGGCTTTAAGGTTCAGGGGTTTAGGGTTTAGGCTTCAGGACCCTGACGAAACCTTCCTGGAGCCGGACGACAGAACAACCTGCCATCCTTCACACCAAAGCCCCAGGCCCCTAGACCCTGAACCCTCAACCCTAAACCCTAAGCCCTATACCCTAACCCTATACCCTAAACCCAAAAGCCCTCAACCCTAAACCCTGCAACCCTGCAACCCTCAACCCTCGAAGCCCTAAGCCCTAAACCCTGAAACCCCGAAGATAGGGCCTGAAGATCTTAACTTAAACCCTAAACCCTAAACCCTAAACCCTAGATCCCTTAACAAGAACCCCAGAAAAGGCGCTGGGCCTTCTCGCCGGCGCCGCGGCAAGTGGCCTGCAGCCGGACGTGGCGCCATGGCTCGAACGGCTTGGATGAAATTCAGGATCCAGGGTTTCAGGGTTTCAGGGTTTTTAGGTTTTTTGGGTATCAGGGTTTCGGGTTTTTAGGGTTTAGGATATGAAATTTCAGGATCCAGGGTTTTAGGGTTTTAGGGTTTTAGGGTTTTTAGGGTATCAGGGGTTCTAGGGTTTTAGGATTTTAGAATAGGATGAAATTTCAGGATGTGGGGGTGTGCAGGGCAGGGTTTAGGGGGCTTAGGGTGTTTAGGGTTTAGGGTGTTTAAGGTTTTAGGGTATGAGGGTATTAGGGTACTTGGGTTTTAGGGTTTTAGGGTTTAGGGGTTTAGGGGTTTAGGGTTTTAGGGTTTTAGGGTGGGATTCGCCATATGAGTCGGATCAGGGAAACGCTTCTGCGATAGTGCGGGGTGCTCTTTGGCGTGAGCCTCTGCAGGGGATGGGTCTATGCAAGTTACAGGTATATTCGGGCTTTCTGCGCTGCGCCGTACTTCAATTCTTTAGAGGGACATGAAAAGCTTCTGCAGGTGCTCTACAATGCCGTCCTGGCTGCGTGCGAGAAGGCCCCTGCTCAGTTGGCGTCTCTTGCCCAGGAAACCCTGTCGAGTCTTTCGGTTTTAGGATTTATAATTGTTGCTTAGTCCTTGCTGGTCTGCCTCCTGTTTTGTCATACACGCACCGTTCTGGTTGCTGTCGTCGGATATGACTGTTTCCATTCACACGCAAGTGCTCGGCATGCGTGCTTCCTCTCCATGCCACTGGAACTGCTTCTCCTCCTTGGCCCTAGGGGCGTTTATAATTAGAATCGGGTTTTGGGGCCCAATGTGCTATACATATAATAAGGAACCCCCCCCAAAATAGTATTGGTAATTCTTTAGGCCCCTATATAACCCTAAACCCTAAACCCTAAACCCTTTTTAACCCTAAACCCTATCCTGTGCAGGCCGCCCGTTGGCCAGCAGCCCTGCAGCTCTTCGCCCAGCTGACGCATGCCCAGCTTGAGCCGTCCTCGGCGGGAGCCTCAGTGAAACTCAGGGGGGTTTTCTGACTCGGGGTTTAGGGTTTAAGGTTTAGGGTCTGGGGTTTGGGGTTTCAGGTTTAGGGTTTGGGGTTTAGGGTTTGGGGTTTAGGGTTCAGGGTTCAGGCATCGTGGGATTATAGGCCTTCGATAGCTGCTTCTTCCGAGAGGCTGTGGGTTTCTCATGGGTTCAGACTTGTGGGAAAGCTGTGCAGGTGTAGGGAAAGGAAGCTTCCTGTGTGCCATTCCGTGGGAACCCTGAACCACGAAGCACTGCAAAGATCTTCATATCCTCAAGGGCATTAACTCATTAAGACGACGCCTGACACCCCAAACACAAATAAATCCTGCCGCGTCGTAGTCGCTAACCCTAAACCCTAAACCCTAAACCCTAAACCCTAAACCCTAAACCCTGAAAGAATATAGACGCCTGAATAGCTCGACTCCTATGCTGAGGGCTTTCTTTTGGTACTGCCTGCCTAACCCCAGTCAACTTCTGTAGGTCTATGTCGTAGATCTCAAGAGACCCTGGGAACCGGCTCCGCTTGAACCCAAATCCCTAAATCCTAAACCGGAAAAACCAGAAAACCTAAATCCTAAAGCCTAAACCCTAAACCCAAAAAGCCTAAAGCCTGAAGCTTAAACCCTGAACCTGAAAGAACCCTCAAACCCAAACCCTAAACCCTAAACCCTGAACTCGGAACCCTAAACCATAAACCCCAAACCCTAAACCCTGAACTCTGAACCCTAAACCCTAGACCTTAAACCCTAAACCCTAAACCCTAAACCCTCAACCCTGCTCACGGAGGTCTCGGTTGCGGCACCCCTCTCTGCCTTGGCGAAGGGCTCTCGGCCTCTTTGCTTAGGGCTTTAGGGTTTAGGGTTTGGGGTTTAGGGTTTAGGGTTTGGGGTTTAGGGTTTAGGGTTTAGGGTTTTAGGGTTTATTGTTTAGGGTTTAGGGTTTAGGGCTTGGGGTTTAGGGTTTGGGGTTTAGGGTTTAGGTTTAAGGCTCAGAGTTCAGGGTTTGGGCTTTAGGGTTTAGGGTTTGGGGTTTGGGGTTTAGGG